AACTACCTTGGTGAAGCGTTTAGGTTAGGATTCCACTAGATAAAATATCTCACCCTTCATGAGCTAACCTCGGTATGAAAGGATCATGTAATTTCTTGATTTTCTCACATATCCAATCCTCATCTATCTAATGATGGCCCGAACCTTAGAGATTGGGGCACGATAACCTGATCAATCTCCAAGATCTAATTGTACCCAACTTGAATTTCAATTCATGCAATCACTTGATAGACAGAGGGTATGAGACAGTCATGTGAATCTATGATATAGTCACCCACAAAATCCCCCACACCTATGGTGGTCAAGCCCTAGAAACTGGGAAAACTCACGTCACATAAATAACACCCAAGAATCATGCATCAAGAAATCATAGATAGGTGGTTGAAGGAGAATCAACATAATTTAATCCATACAACAACATACCGAGCAAACATCTACTTGAGCACTATCTCTAACCAACATAAATGTTTAGTTCATTGGGAGAAAGAGAGAAAAATAAAAAGAATATAAAATGGAAAATAACACCAAGCTTGAGCTAGATCTATCTTCTTCTTCTTGACTTGGACACCCTACTTGAATCTTGGGAGGATTTGGGGTTAGGATGAGGAAGAAATCATCCAAAATCTCTCTAAAGTTGTTACTCTTACTCTACATCTCAAATGCCTCTATTCTCTAGGAGGCCTCCCTATCCTCCAAAACAGCCCCAAGTACTTAGGTTTTCTCCTGCTTTTGTAATGGGAAGTCACGACCATGAACATTGGCCGTGAACTTAGCTACGATCGTGAATCTAACCATGGCTTGACGCTAGGTCTTCTTCTCTTTATCTTTTCATTCTTTAAACAACTTTCAATTGCCACAAAACTTGATATAGTTCATATTTATTATTATTCTAGGACCTAGATTAGGAAAGAAAAGACAACCTAGCCTAGAATAGGCTGAGAATAAAAATGTTACGAGCCAAATGGCAAAAGATCAGTAAACATCATACTAAATACTAAGATGTCGACATTTGGTCAAATATAGAACATTATCAACCCCAAAATGGCTGAAGTACAATGATTATGGCATTCAAACACCAAGGAAATGAAGGGTTAATAACACCTATGTTAGGTGTTATCAATTTTCTCCCACACTTACGGTTTGCTTGTTGTTAAGCAAAGATGCACTCCGATAGTGCAAATCTACCTTTCTTAACCATTCGTATGCAAGGTTAATCGTCGGGAGTCAGCTATTGTCAACTTCGTAGCAACTTTTGATGCGACAACTTCTCAATTGGTGAGTCTTATTCTATCAAGCTCGAAATACAATGCACTCAAGCGAGGGTAGACGGCATACGGTGCCCAAGTGGATTCTCAATGTAGGTAGACCGAATGAAAGCTCTTGAAGGTTTCTTTTCACAATTTCTAAACAATCTTTAGGGTTGTAGCAACTTAAAAACTTTTATGTTTGGTGTTTCAGACACGACAAGTAGAGGTCCTATGCATTTTTGCTTTATTTTGCCTCTTCACTTCAATAAAGACAGCTTTCTTTTCTTAAATTTTTGTTGAAAGAGGATAAGCGCTATCCATTCCATTGAGTAAAGGGGGATTTTCCCTACCCATACCTTGGCCTGTGTGGACGGACCACTACATAGGGATATCCAACCTTTTAATGGTTTACACCCGACTATCAGCAGGGTCCCAAGCACATCACCCTCAAACAAGACATGCAATCAAAAGTCATCTTTGACAAACTACTTCAGAGAAAGTTGTATACACGTTGCCTTTTATTCAAACAGATAGGGAACTCGTTAAGATCGTCTACTCCACCTTCCCTCATCACAGATTAGTGTCGCACGCGTAAACTTTAAAAAGCTAAAACCCACTTTATTTGATTTATTTAAACTTTGGTTGTGGGAAAGCGTAGAACCGAGCCTCATTCAATTGACCTAGACTTAAGAATCCAAGTTTGCACATATAAACACCTACCTACAAGCACTAGTCATGCACATTCCTCTATATACATTATAATATTAATCCAATCAAACTTAAAATTGATTCATCCATAGCACTACACCCTCCTCATCACCTCACACACAAGCAATCAAAAGAGGTAGATCCAAAGCAATTAAGCACATTTGAAGCGAAGAGGTTTCTTGGAGCCTTTAAATTTGAAAATTTTGGGAATACATACAAGGCTCTGAGCAATCATTAAACATGGAATCATAATCTTTCACCATCACCACACAAGGAAATCGTACATACTTTTCATTCAAAATAATCAAATCACATGCACAAAAACGACATGCAAGCATTTGTAAACAAGTATACTAAACACTCACACGCTTAAATCTCACTTTGTCCCCATTGTGCATAGGACAAGGTAGAAGTGAAAGCAAACAAGTTTACCATTATGTATAACCCGTGAATAAAGTAAAGGAAGGTCTATTGAAGGTTTGTTCAATCTCATTAAGTGAGGTCAAACACACAGTGATAGGAGAGACACATCCACGAGATATTTATATACTACTAATGTTGGAAACATAAATGTTAAAAGGGAAAGAAATCAAACAGGGGTGGATTGCCTCCCAACAAGAGCTTTTTTACCTTCATAAGTTAGACAATTGCTTTGGACCTTGCTTCATCTCAAAACCTCACTGAGATAGAGGTTCTCTTGGTGATGTGAAGTCTCTAGTACTGAGCATTTGGTGTGATAATTGATGATGATTCACTGACTTGATTGTGATTGAGGTTTCATCTTCGAGGTCCCTTCTTTTTTATCTTGGCCTCAAACCATATAATTCAACACACATTGACTACCATTGCATCCAACAAGAGAGATGATGATGGAATGGCTTAGTTTGGAAAAGAGAATTGGCAAATGGACCCATTGAAAGGGGTTTATCAAGTTTAGGTGTCATTTGTTGCTCATAGGCAATGACATCTTCATGCCCAACAACTTGATAAACCCTAGGCATCCATCAACCTCTTCAACCTCCCTTCTTTCTTCTTCAATGATGTCTCCCCCTTGTTGAAGACCAAGCTCTTAACCTTCCTCAATTTCTTCTTTTTGTTCTCCCTTCACAACTTCATCAATGCTCCTTTAACCATCCATTTCATATTATTGAAAGGGACCAAAGTGATAACACCTAAATTTGCCACTACTTACCCTCCCATTATTTAGGCGTTTTTGTGCTAAAATCATCATAGTTAGGACACATTGTGATCTACTTTATGCTAATATGGGTTAATATTTATTAAACATGAGCCTTGGCATGATTTAGGTTGCTTTGAATGATTTTCATAGGGAAACTGCCCTGATTTTGTGTTGTTTTTGCCTTTTGAGGAAAATGGCGCCTATGACACCATTTTGGTCATCAAGCTGCTGATGGCTCTGACTTGTGTTGTCAGAGTAACACCCCTGTAAAGATGTATCTTGAAATGGTAACTGAGGGAGTCTATTTATAGCTAGGGGTGGCTATACGGTCCGATCCGGTTAAATTGACCCAAATTGATCCGGTCCAGTCCGGTCTTTTTGAAAATATAAGGACCAAAGATTGGATTGGATACAGTCCGGTTTTGATCCGGTATGGTCCCAATTCGGTCTTGATTTTATATTGAGCTTGTGGGGATTTAAGTGGCCTAAGGCCTGAAAGGACGAGGAGTTGGTTAAGTTTTGTACTAAGTGCAAAGGTTTGTGACCGTTTATGCTAATTACCCTTAAGTTTTGGGTGTTGAGCTCTCTTATCCGGTCTTTATCTAGTTTTTTATCCGGTCCCAAACGTTTTTTACCTCAAATCTAAGCCCAAAAATTGGATTGGATTGTTTACTATCCGGTTCCGGTCCGGTCTCGGTTCAAGTTATACGGTCCGATTTAGGGTAAAACCAAAAAATCCAGACCAAATAGCCAGCCCTATTTATAGCCATTTCCATGAGATTTTATGGCACTCTAATCTGCATCCATTAATGCCCCGTGCGCTATTTCTCAAGCAAGATAAATGGCCCGTGCTCTATATTTTCACTTGCAAAAAGTGCAACGTTGAGCAACACAAACAACACCCAAATTTTGAAGGATTGTTTCCACGACAACTACCACCTTTAAAGGAAGCAGGTACCAGCAGCTCATTATCATTCATCAACCACTCACTCTTACTGCATTTACTCTCTGTCAACGCCCTTACAATATTACACCCCCATGCTTTCATGCACGATTCATATCGGTATACAAGCGATGGCTTCTCCACCATTGCTCCTCCTATTCTTCTCTCTGCTCTTCCTCTCTCCAACAGCTCAATCTTACGACTCTGGTAAAGTCAACTTGACTCTGTATTACGAGACAGGTTGCCCCCCTACTGCCGTGACTTCATCGTCCACCCTCTAGCTCAAGCCCTGGGTTCCGATATCATCAACATCGTCAATCTCAAGCTCGTGCGTTGGGGCAATGCCAATGCCGTCGGCTCCACAATCATATGTCAAGACGGTGAAGATGAATGTGTGCTCAACAGAATACATGCCTGCATAATTGCCGTCGCGGTGAACAACCCCACCTAATTACCAAATGACAGGCGTTTGTAGCTTGCAATAATAATGGTGTTTGATGGCTGCTGTGCAGTCTGCCGAGGCTACCTTATATGTTCGACATCATCAAGTGAAGAAGGAGGAGTTTGCTTAGCCTTGTGAGGTTTCTATCAGCCCAGAAAAGTAACAACCTTTGTGAGCTAGAAGATTTCAATTGTGGGTTGAGATTTTTTTTTTAATGGCGATATAATTTTTATTGAGTTTAAGAAAAAGAGAAACAAAAAAAGGCAGGAGAAAAATACAGGTTACCCCAGCAAGTAACCACCTGCAGATTTCCCACTAGGGGCAACCAGCTTACAACCAAAGGGGGGAAACAAAACCATCCAATCCCTTGCAACCAATCACTTATATACAACCCAGGCAACCTTGGATGATTGCCATTTCAGAATTGGATGAATGCAAATGGGTTGAGATTATTAAACTAGATCAATTATGTCGTTATGCAACAACCAGTCGGGACCATTACCTGTGAGTTTCTAACAATCCATTGTTTTTCTGGAATGAATCTGGTACAAAAACCATGTATTTGAAGTCTACATGACATTGCACACACTCTTACAATGTCTTCTCAAGTACAAAGTACAAACATAACATGGACACCAAACCAACCCTAACTGAATCTTTACTGCATCGTACTCAAACTTAACACTGATATTACAGAACGAAAGAGACAATGAGATGAAGCTTTTCTGAAAATAGCTGATCACAAAGCAACATATAAGTGAAAAGAGGGGAGCGGGGAAGGACCCTGGGATATTACACATACGTTAAGAATTGCAGGTTTCATGATCATTGGTTCTTTCGAACTAATAACTACAATAACATAATTTGGTACAGGAAAGGTGTTAGTAACACATACACAATCTCTCTGGAACCAGATCAGCAGGAAACAGATCGGAGGGCTCTGAAGGAACCGATGGATGTTCGATTGCCTATCTGTGATTTATCAACTTCCAAATGCTCTCACAAGTTTCAAATGGAGTTGATTCCGTTGGGTCGAGCTCAAACTTCTCAACCATCCTCTTATCCCGGTCTACTATATCTACAGCTGGAATTAAGGAAACCCACTCCCAAGCATGTTACAAAAACATATCAGACAGGTTTTTGAAGGCAAAAAAAGAAACAAAGCCATATACTTTTAGCTCCAAAAGACAAGGATACGGCCTGAGATTGTGGAACGGTTGTCCAAGTCTGGAATGATATTCGTAACAGAAGCATACATAGAAAGCTTCTTCCTGCAGACGTCAAACCAAAAATATGCTTCAATTCCTGGTGAGTAAAGAGATAAACAGAAATCAAAGAGTGCATTTTTCACAGATGACATCATAGGAGTCTTATCAACTACTCACTGTGCCCTCAACTCTTCGCGATCCAGTTTCTTTCTCAGCTGAATTTGCTCGTCAATGGAAACCCTTTGCCGTTCTAAACCGCTGATCTGATTGTTGATCACTGTGTTTGACCGAATAAGAAATAAAAACCAATCAATCGAAGGGAACACAAATGCTTCGTACACCTCAACCATCGATTCAATATAACCACAGATGCACTTATCTGAGATCCTCTCGTAAAGCACGTTCCTCGTTTAATTCAGCTTCCAACTCCTTCTGTAGAAGGCCTATCTCCGCGTCATCACATACCTCCAGTTTTGCCTTTGCTGTCTTCTGCTTGCATTCCTCAATCTTTTTCTCATAATCTGAACAAGAATTAGTGTTCTCTTCGGGTCAACACAAAATTGGTTTCCAGATTCGAGTCAGCCTCAAGGGATTAATTCCCTAGATTTTTGCCCGAAGGAAGAAAAATTATACAAAACATACTGAAAGTAGCTCCTTTTGCCAATCATGAATCGGGAAATGCACAGCAGAGCAAGGCAACAGTTCAAAATTCACTGGGCAAGATATTTTATGGGAGAAAAGGGGGACCTTGGAGCTGGGTGTGAACCTCGTCGAATTCTGCCTCAGAAAAGGTGCGAAGAGCTGTCGACTCGTCAAGACACTGGGATAAGGAATCGATGCTGGTTTGCTTCTTCAACACCGCCACCAAATCGTCGCTAAACGACATTAATTTCACCAGATCGGTTTCCCCAAGTAAACCCGCCATCTCTGCTGGAAATGCACAGCAGCTCGAAGAAGGTACCCTGGTTTTGGCTGACTTAGGGTTTATGTCTTTGCTCCTGCTCCCCGAACCTAAAGCCAAGAAGCTCAAAGAATTTTGGTAGAGTGATCCAAGTTCCCGACGGGGTAGACCTTGATTGCGAGAACGCCGCCGGTTTCGGGACTTGGATTCTGGTGGAGTAAGCTGCGGATTCTGGAGTGGAGAGTGAATGTTTCAGACTCGAAAAGGTAAGAGAGGGAAAGCAAAACACTCGAAATCTCGAAGGGGTCGTTTGGATCAAGGATTTTAAAACGAGTAATTTGAGGCTCAAATCTCTCATTAAAAACCCTGGTAATTTAAGTGTAGGATTTTGGTAAAATAACGTGTTTGGCAATAGAGGAGAGATTTTAATAAAAAAATTACAATTACAATTTTACCCAAATTCCTAACCTATCTTCTACGATGGGTCTGTTCTTCTTCCCCCTTTCCTCTTATTCCAATTTCTGTCTTCTTGAACCAAAAATTGTGAAATCCCCGACACTCATTGAACTCGTCATCGCCGGCAGGAGGCTTGCATGTCAACTGGGAAGGTCAAAGGCAACTGGGCAGGTCGAAGGCGTATGATAACGAGACAAGGGAGGCTTAGCGATTTGGAAGGGATGATGTAGGGACTGGGGAAGGTCAAATTTCGACGGCGACTGGACTTCTCCGAGATCGTCCTTGTTATTGCTCGTTGTCATCGGCAGAGGGAAGAAGGAAGAAGCTAAGATAGAGGACAGATAAGAAAGGAAGACGGGTCGCAGGGTTGAAGTTGAACGAGGAGCCCCTCGATTTGCCGGAAAGAAGACGTCGGCGACGTTGGGATCAATTGGGAGAGAGACGGAAGAAGAAAAGGAAAAGGAAGGTTGCTGGTCTCGTACAGGGGAGATGGAAGCAGGCAAAGGGGTAAGGTTTGGAAAAAAATGAAATAAAAATGAGGGATTTGTAAATAGCTGATGGTGATCAGCTATTTCAAAAACCCACGTTTGAAGGTTTTTAAAATTCCTAATTGCAAAATCCTTCATGTTTACCAAACGCAGAAATGTTTAAAATCCTGCACAATGAGAGATTGTGATTAAAATCCCTCATAAAAAAACCTAATCCAAACGACCCCGAAGAGAATATTGAATAGGGTAAAATACCTTCAATATCACTTAAATATGAAAATTGGAGGAGTTATATCACTTATATAAGAATAGAGCGTCGGGTATCACTAACGTCACTGAATTGTGTATCCGTTTAAAATTTCGTCCATCTGCCATAGTTAAGAATAAAATATTATTTTATGGTAAAAATAATAATATTATAAAATAAAATGGAAAAATAAAAAACAAAAATGGAAAAATTCAATCACGATGGGCGGACGACGGTTCGGTCTGCTTCAGATCTCGGCAGCGGTGAACTCGACAGTGCAGCTGGAGCTGTCAATGTCGTTCCTAGCCGGGGCGGAGTCGTCGGAAGTCGTAAACAACCCGACAACCTCGAATTTAAGGGAGGTGGGCTGACCTATGTTTTCGCCGCGAGAAAAGCCATCGGCGTGAACAACCTGGATCTGCGTTGATTCGGTGGAATCAGGATTCAAAAGCCCGATCTGGCAGGTGGAATTCAAGATGCAATCTTCCCAAACTAGGGAAAATTCCTAAATAGAACCTCCAAAGGATGAGCGAAGATGAAGAACATCAGGCTTCTTCATGTTTTCGTAATTCTTCATGTTTCCACAAGTTCAAGACAGAATGATGCCAAAGAGATGGAATGTAGAGGGAGTGGATTAAAGCTTCAAACTTCAATGCTAGGGTACCAAAGAGATGGAATGGAGAGGGAATGGATCAAAGTTTCAATGCAAGGGGATATTAGGACAAGAGAGGAACAATGCTTCTTGTGGAAAAGTTGCAGCACTGGCGGTGGGCGGCGTCGCGGCGGTGAGGGTTTGGAGACGGAGGCAGAGAAGGATAGATATATATCGGGTTTTTTTCCATTTCTTTTCTTTTTGTATTATTTTTACCAAAAATAATATTTTATTCTTTACTAACGGTAGATAGACGGAATTTTAAATGGATGAACATTTCAGTGACATTAGTGGTTTCCGATGCCCTATTCTTATTTAAGTGGTATAACTCCCTCAATTCTTATACTTAAGTGGTATCCAAGGTATTTTACCTGATTGAATAAGTAATTTTTCTCTCGTATTTCACTATCCTCAAATTTTTACCCCTCTAAATTTTCCTTCCCCTCCACAATTTTCTCCCCCTCTTTCGTGTAAAGAGCTTTTGAACACCAGTTTGCCATCATTATGTCACTACCCTCAAATTTTCACTTTCTCCAAAAACATTTCTCCCTCTTTCGTGAACATAGGGTAACAGATTGCAGTAAAATATGTGATGATCTAAACCGTACAAAATCGCTAATATATGCGGTTTGGTTTGACTTCATTAATAACATTGCAGTCGAGCATGCAAGTGCGGCCCAATTGAAATATGGTCGGAGCAAATTATATCAATATGGTACGGTCCAATCCAAATGACATCAATTCTCATCTTTAATTTAGAATACACTTGTATTCATGAATATGTACACTATGTTTGGGAAGAGGTGCAAATGGGAGTGAGAATTCACTATTTGGGCTTACCCTCCGAATTGGGGTGCAAGGGAAGAAAGGAAGGAAGGGGAGGGAGGAAATGAAGGATTTTCTTAATTATATTACAATTATATAATAATTCATATTATTAACTTTTTCTTATAGCTATCATTAATGTAAACATTGTTTGGGGTTGACTGTTTGACTTCGATAGCAAGTTTGTCAATGTTCGTCTAGTCAAATCGATATCTCTTGGTTGACTCGAATTTGCATTGAAATTAGAGATAAGATAAGAAGCATTTGTGGAAAAGATAGAGATGACCGGTTTAGTTTACTCAGTTTACTTGACTAAATAGTTAAAACTTACAGATTTGAACTTGTTTGACTACGTTTGACCATATTCAATTTGAAGGTAGGCACGAGAATCCACTTAGGATGACCAGTTGCGAGTTGGGTTTCGAATTTCGAGGTCGCTTGACCAATGATTATTAGTGTTGTTATAATTAATTATCATTTGAGCATTATTATATAATAATTATTTTTATTAAAGTATAATTATTCTTATTATAATATAATTATTAGTATACATTAATTTTTATTTAGACTATTTTGTGATAATATTTTATAAATTTGATAAATCTATTTTATAATAATATAATTACTTACTTTTCACTCTATTTGCACCCCCTACCTTTTCATTCAAACAAAAATTTACCCCTCCACTAACACCCTCCACCAAGTTGCACCCCCAACAATTTATCCATCAACTTGCATTGCACCCTCCTTAACCCCTTGTTGCCAAATATAGTTACATGAATTCATCACTTCATAAATCAAATTCATTTACCATCTCTAAATTTACAATCGCATAGTAGAACATCAACTCCACCCGCAAGAACCAATTCTCAAATTTTTTGTTAATGGGAGTATGCCAAGTCCAAACCAAAGAGGCCCTGACCTCCACAAAATGCAATCACCAATTTTTTTTTTTGTCAAAGAACGCTACGCATTATCGAGCAAGGGCTGTCTCGGAGGAAGTTCACGCCTTTTTCTCTCTTTTTGAGCCACTATCGTGTCGTTTTGTTCCTCGGAATTTTAACAAAGCAACCCATGTAATGACAAATCAGACTCTTTTATGAGGAATCCACTTATATACGAATTACCGCTTTTGTAGGAGTCGTTTGGTATTGGTGTCAGTTAAATAGATGTATTGTCATTAATGCAAGCATAATAATATACATGTATATACGGAAATTGGTGAATTGTAGTTTATATTGTTTGGTTTTTATGATATTTATTGTGTTATTTAAATAAGTTATATTACTTTTTGAGTGAAATGTCACTTTAGCCTTTGTTTTTAATATAAAAAAGTAACACAAATAAAAAGGTAAGAACATAGTTGGTAAAATAATTACATATTTTGTGTTGGGTTTTTACTTAAAAATATCGCCAACTCGACCCAGCCCAATTAGAAACAAATCGTAGGATTTAATTTTTTTTGCATGAATACGTGGATCGGATGATTAAAATAGCCAAATCCAGACCACTCGTGTATACCTCTAATTATAACTATGTCTATGTGTCTATGAATCTATGTCTACCAAACAATATTTGTAATTGAGTTGCGTGTCCTAAACACTCTGGGCTTGCATTTGGAAAAAAAAAAGCCCTTGACGTTGAGCCGGTTGAGGCAGCCCCAGCTCCCAGCCCCAAAAGACCCAACCCGTCTATGCCTCATTTCCCCGTCTCCACTCCCACAACCCTTGGTTCCTTCTCTCTCACTCTCTTCCTCTACAAAAAGCCGAGAATGAACCCACCGAGCTGAACCTCCTCATCTTCTCCGGTCACGTTCCCTCCCAAACCCTAAAAGCAATCGCCCCACAAATCTGTAAGCCTTCTTCTTTCTCACTACTTCTCGACCGATCCGATTGCTTCCTCGCTCTTCTCGGTATGTTCATTTCCACCCTTTTTCTGCATAATATTCGATGCCTCTCTGTCATCGGAGCTCTTTTTATTTCCTCAAGTAAGGTATCCCGAGCAATCTCTTAGCTGCTCTGTTTGATAGGCGAGAAAGCTCGGAGGAAAAATTTATAGGAAAATCAACCGCTTCGTACACTTTTGTTTGTTTCCAGCTGCCTTCTCGCGTTCCAGTTCTATATTCTTCTTCTTCTAGGGTTTCTTCTATCGGTGCATTAATTGTTTTGATGGTTAGCTGCGTGTTTTTAGCTTCAATTTTCCTACTGGTGAGATAATTCTGTCGTTGATTGGATGGAAATTAATTATGTGAATAGTCCACCTTTCTTTATGCTTCCTCGGAAGAGAGCTGGTGGAGGAGAGGTTGCAGTAGAAGGAGAAGGAAGACCTATCTGTAACGAATCGCTCATCAAGAAGCACTGCATCGAAACAACTGCGGCAGCCACGGGATCTCCAGCAACTGCCACCACCGCGGCCAACGTCAACACCAACAGCAGTAACTCAGGCAACGCCAGCAGTCACAGCAACACCAGCTCGTCGATCATGACTCTAGGAAACGGAAACCAGCAAGATATCGATGAGGATCTGCACAGCCGTCAGCTTGCCGTCTACGGCCGCGAGACAATGCGAAGGCTGTTTGCTTCCAATGTCCTCATCTCCGGGATGAATGGACTTGGCGCTGAGATTGGTAAGTAAG